CAGGGTCGGAATGCTCCCCTTTCTTGTAAATTGGAGTGACATCCGCTGTTCTCCAGTCTGCTGGAACATTTCCTGTGCATATTGACGATTGGAAGAGGATTGTCAGTGCAGGAGCGATTTCTTCACAATCATTTGTCTTTAGAGAATGTGACTTTAGAGAATAGCTTGAATTTGAAAATGTCTAGTATTGTGTCTGATTGTAAGGCCTGTTGACATGGGGAAAACAAAGCAGGCATCTTGAGGGGCGGGGGGGGGAAGGAGAAGAGATAAATCAGGGAATATGGGGGGGGGGGGAAGAAATCCCCTTACATAACATAAATATGACTGATAATTTGAGTCTCCTGGTGGAGTAGGATAAAACAATGATACACATGTTCTTTGATCTGTCATCAGTATGACCAAACAATGGTACACATGTACTTTGATCTGTCATCAGTATGACCAAACAATGGTACACTTGTACTTTGATCTGTCATCAGTATGACCAAACAATGGTACACATGTCCTTTGATCTGTCATCAGTATGACCAAACAATGGTACACATGTACTTTGATCTGTCATCAGTATGACCAAACAATGGTACACATTTACTTTGATCTTGTTAAATTTTACCAACCAGTAATTAGAGCCACCAATCAGATAGTTGTGGTCACATGACTTATTAGTCACATGACTTGATGATGGCATGAACATCTGCTGACAGACCCCCAGAAATAATCATGTAGTATTGGTTCAATCACATGAATACTCAGTACTTGCAGTAAACCTAAACATTAAGTCTTGTTTAACCTTGACCTTTTCTATACATTGTATATGAGCATAACCAATTAACCAACCATTTGGTTGATGTCTGGCATGTTATCACCAAATGGGCCACTGCAATGTATCCATCTATTAATCCTTTAGCTGTCAAACTTTGCTGTGCGTGTACATTTTTTTAATAGAAAAACTAATTCAACAACTGTCATATTGAAGCAAATGAAACAATATTATATTGCGTAACTCGACCATTCTTAAAATGTCTATTTAACTTTGAGTATCTTTGAAAGTCCTAGTTGCAGAAAGTTGTTAGGTATTTTGCTATACACTGCGGCAGAGCTCTGCAACCACGTTGTGCCACAGCATACTTGTGCCACAGCATACTTGTGTGCCTCAAGATGATGCCAGGCGCGCCGCTAAAACTGCCTCTGAGAGGAGAAAAAGCATTTATGTAGGCATGTCATTATGATAAAACCGTGTTGCTACAAAAGGGGCATCGGTTGACATATTACCAAGTTGCCAAACTCTGCTACAACAGAAATTTATCCAATGCAGACAGTTAGTACAGAGCTACTCAGTGTAAACGTATACCATTTAGTATTGCACGCCGTTATGAATGTGAGCTACAATGTGTTTTTAGTAAAATATTACATCTTTTTACTTGTGTGCAGCAGAAGTCTTGAATGGATCTGGGGTGTGCCGCGGGTTGAAAAATGTTGCTATGGGTCTGTGGTTTGCCATGGGTTGAAAAAGGTTGCTGAGCTCTGCAGGATGAAGTATCTTGCTTTATTTTGTATGTCAAGCACCAAAATATTATTTCTTTTGGAAAAGTTCCTTCCTTTGAAAACTTGTCATGTCTAATCCTTAAATAACAAGAAAACATTCATATTTTGTCTTCAAGAAACAACTCGCCTCCTTATAGTAGTGCACATGTCATATGTCTTTATCAATGGCAGCCAATTCAATTTGCCATTTTTATCTTTATCAAGCACAGCACTAACATTTTACTAGTATTTGAAATAATATTAAATCCTATGCATGAAAAGACTTGTGACTATTTTTCTACATCGTACAATAACTTATCCATGTCGGCACTATCAGCCAGCACCATAACTTATCCATGTATGCACCACCAGCCAGCACCATAACTTATGGATGTATGTACTACCGGCCAGCACCCCAAGGAACAGGAAGATGAGAGGATTCACTAACTGAAGCCAAGTAAAAAAAGTCTTATATATATTTGGAATGCCTTCATAGTTTCTCATTTGTTTGATGTGTTGAGAGAGTTTGGTGAACATGGTCATCATTAAGACTCTTTTGAAAGTATTAATTATCATAAGGCGACATGGAGTGTTCCAATAGATTATAAAAGTTATAGGTGACTCTTATCATAATAAATCATGAACTATCTTATATTGACCAGTTGTCAACACTTGCCAATGCCGTTAAACAACATGTATTTGTTAAATGAGAGCACTGCT